AAAACCATTTTCCTAGACCAGTGTCAAGGGTTTTTTCTTCTCTGGTTTTCTTCTAGTAGCTTTACAGTTTCAGGTCTTAGGATTAAATGTTTAATTCATTTTGAGGAGGTTTTTGTATATGGTGTGAGATTAAGGTCCAGTTTCATTTTTCTGCATGCAGTCAGAAGAATCTATCTAGTTTGTCTTCCACTACCTCTAGAGTCCCCCATCATTCAGTTTCAGTCATAGCTATTCTGTGTCTGAACTCAACAATTGTCCTAGTGAATTCTCACTTCTACTTAGTTACAAAGACTCATGTAACTCTAGAATATACTTGCATTATATTTGTTCATGTTTGCAGTTCATGAAGTCTTCAATAAATGTGCTCTTCACCTCTGAGTATTTTATATAGTTGATCAAGTGGAATATATGAGAATTATGGTGTATTGCTTTTGATTTGCATTTCTCTGATAATTAGAGATGATATACAGCCCTTTTGATTGGGAGATTTCTGTACTGAGGACAGAGAGATTAGTTTGTCATTAACTGACATGAGGAAAACTCAAATCCATACCCAATCACAATGGATGTACAAGAAAGGATGGTGTGTGTATGTGTGGGTAAATGGCAGAGAGTAATTTTCTGAGAACAAGTGACCAAGTGGCATGTATTTAGAGGTTGGCTGGAAAGGGAGAGATTGAATAATGAGAAAATTTAGAATGCTGAATCAGTAGCAAGAAGTATAATATCAAATTGAAATAATTATGGGTAGATCCCTCAAAATGTAATATCAAATTGCAATCATGATAGGTAGATCCAAGGAGCCAAACTGATCAAGGAAGGAACATACCATTGATTTGATATTACTTCCAATACTGAGGTTAGATAATATTGTATATAAAAACTAAAATATTACACTCTATGGTAAAATAAATATTCAATTCTTCCTTTTAAAATTTGTTCTTTTCCTGATTATGTGCCGCATGATGAACATCATTAGGCAATAAAAAGACTACCTCCAAGTATTCATCTTTTAGATGGAAAACCTAGAAGAGGGAATTCATAGGCATAAAAAAAAGACATAGTGGTTTCCAAGGGCTAGAGTATAGAGGAGTATGGTGAGTTACTGTTTAATGGAAATAAAAGTTATGTTTGGGGTGATCAAAAGCCTGGGAAATGGACAGTGGTGCTGCCGCACAGCATTATGAATACACATGGTGCCACTGAACCATGCACTGAAAAATCGTGACAATGGTATATTTTACCACAATAAAAATTAATAAAAAGTTTAAAAACCCCTTGAAATATTTAAAAAGTAGATTCTGAGATCTTTCCCTGAATATATTGACAAGTTAAGTCTTGGATAGAGTAGGAAGCTGTATGTTAGCAAAGCCCAAGGTGATGATTTTGAGAAACCTAAATCCTAGGACAGTGTTTCTCAAAAGACTGTACTGGGGGCTAGGGATGTGGCTCAAGTGGTAGCGCGCTCACCTGGCATGCGCAGGGTGCTGGGTTCCATCCTCAGCACCACATAAAAGTAAAATAAACATGTTGTGCCCACCGAAAACTAAAAAAATAAATATTAAAAAATTCTCTCTCTCTCTCTCTCTCTCTCTCTCTCTCTCTCTCTCTCTCTCTCTCTCAAAAAAAAGACTGTCTTGGGGATATAAAAATTGAAACTTGCCCAAAATGCAAATTATTAGACTTAAAGTCAGATCTACTGAGACAAAACTGGGGGTGAGTGGGTCTCAGTACTCTGAATTTAAACAAGTCCTCATGGTCATCCTGGTGTAGGCCAAATTTTGAGAATCCCTACCCTAGAGAATCCTGAGACCCTTTGCTACTCAGCCATCTGCCTAATAAGGAAACTGTAAGTGGAAAATGGTGACATTTGTCACCAAGAGGGAATCTAGCAAGACTAGTGACTCTTCCCAGAGGAGAGGAACACAGGAGAGAGGAATCCTGATGGACCTACAGTTAGTCTCCCTGGAATAAGGAATTGAGGAGTTAGAGACTTCTTCCTGTTTATTCCTGCTGTTATGCAGCCAAACTGATCAAGGAAGGAACATACCATTGATCAATTTGTTTAATAAACTTCACTGGGGATACAGCCTCCAGGGTGCAACTTGAAACTCATCAGCTTATAGTCACCAAGGCCTTTAAGTGCCAGGCTAAGACACTCATGCCTTCTCCAGAAGAAGTCAGCCAGACCCCATACCATATGCCTGGCTCTGTCTCCCTGCTCTTTCAGTGGACAGCTCTTCTGTCTTCATCAGAGTACACAATTCAAGGAAGTTGGCCCTGCTTCCAAGGTCAATGCTGCCAAGCCTACATAGCCCAGTAAGTGATGAGGGAAAAGAGATGATATTCATGGAGAGGGAGCTCTCAAGAATATTTGCTTGGAAAGTAGAATGCCTAGATTAGTTGCTTAAACTTGCCTTTGTATAGTGAAGTTTTACTTTGATTGTATGGTATTTGGGTGGATAGCTGAGGAGGATATGGGGAGGGTTACTCTGTGTTGGTCGTTAGGGCACCCTGACAGCACAGAATTGCTGTGGATAACACAGTCCAGTGTTAGAGTTACCAGTTCGGGTTTTACAAATGGATGCTTTGTAGTAAAGTCTTGGTCTTTCCTCGTCATTTTTTGTTGTCTGACCCAAGAACTCCAAAGTCTTCATTCTTCCTAGGCCTAGAACAAGCCTTTCTGAATTCTGCTGTCACTGTTATGTGCTTAGTAACACCCCTGTTTCTCCCAATAGACCTGGCCTTCTTCCCCACTTCACCTGTATCCATGGTTCTCAGCAGAAACATTTAAGGGAGAAGTGCTTTCATAAAAGCACTTCCCTTCAAAAGCCTGAATGTTTGTGTAGACTTTATATCTTTTTCTCAGAGGACCTAATATAGAGCTGAGAAGAGATTCCAGCTTCAGAGGCCAATCCTTTCATTAACCATTCCCCAAATCAGCAGAGGTCATAAGAATACTTTGGAGTACTCTCCTCTCTGGTGGTCATTAATTACTTGTGGAAGACTGATATCCCACTGTTCTCATAGGCACCTGAATGGATGGGGGGATGCTTGGCATAACACTGGGAAGGATAGGGGGGCATTTTCCCAGCATGGCTCTTTTCTTATTTATGTTCTGAGGCTCCTGCAACCAGACACAGTGGAGGGAATGTTCTCATTCATTTGCCTTCTATTGTTCTCTTTGGGAATGTGGTGTTTGGGGAGAGAACAGAGAGAGAGGACTTCCTCACTCAGAGATGGAAAGTATTCAGCTGTTCTACATGCAAGTGAAAGGACAAATATAAACACTGAGGAAATTCCAAGAAAAGAATGGAAATGATGACTCCCCTTATTTATAATCCCACCAGAACTACTGTTATGACAGTTCTCTGTGAATTTCATGTAAATGTGTGATTCCTCTATTTATTCTTCCTTTTGCTTTCATTGTAAAAGAGGACAGAAACTGAGGGACATGTATGTAAGTGACTCAGACAAAGCTTGTGAAGAGGAAGTTGCTGATGTTTCGGTGGGAAAGGATTCCTGGTGAGAGAGTAAGTAGAAGGGCAAGAGAAGATGGGCTGGCTACACTGTTGCATCCTGGGGTGTGCTAACTTGGTGATATATCATGCCTAGCCTTGAGAGGAGGGCCTGGTTATTTAATGAGTAAAAGCATATTCCCTCTTCTCTCTTCCTTTCCTCTTTCAAAAACTTTTGATTCCTTTTATCACATCTCTGTATATTAACTCCCTTGGGGGTCAAAGGGTTGCTGAAGATTTTGGAGTAACAGATACCCAGGGTATACTAGATGTGTCACAGCAATGGAATAAATTGTGGGCTCATCCATTCATTAATTTAGCCCCAAACAATATAAGTTATCCTCTATGCCAATAAATCAGTTGAAATTGAGGATGGATGGGGTTGGAAATAGCCTAAACAGGGGAGATCTGTGTCAAGTATAGAAATATAGGAAGAAATTAGAGGGAAGAGTGCTTGAAAATCATGGTTATATAAGAGGCTCTGTCCCATTTTGATACAAGGAAGGTTTTCAGTATGTTCAGAATTTAGAGTAACCATTGAGAAGTGTTGAGAAATGAGGCTGTAGGATCAGAGTGGACCCATGATAGATCAAGAATTCCAGATAGTTTCAGAATGACTGACCTGAAAAAAATTCACATTTTGAAATCCTAACCCTGAAGGCCATGGTATTAAGAGATGGGACCTCTTGGCAGGTAATTACATCTTGAGAGTGAAGCTGCATGAATGGGATCAGTGTCCTTATAGAATAGGCTCAAAGGAGCTTTTTCACCTTCTCCCACCATGTGAGGACACATCAAGATAGTGCCATCTATGAAGAAAGAAAATCGACTCCCATAAGACACTCGTACCTCATTGCTTTAATGGTGGACTTTCCAGTCATCAGAACAGAGAGAAATAAATTTCTGTTGTTTGTTAACTATGGAGTTGTGATATTTTGTTGTATCATCCTGAAGAGCCTTAGAAAGACATCTAAAAATTTCAGGCAGGGAAATAAAATAACCAGTTTTTCATTTTAGAAATATTGGCAGCCTGGGCAACTTATTGAGAACTTGTATCAAAATAAAAAATAAAGAGGGCTGGGGTTGTAGCTGAATGTTAGCATGTGAGAGTCCCTGTGTTTCATCCTTAATAGAAGAAGCAAAACAAAACAAGAACAGTAAAAAACCCCAAACAATAACAACAACTACTCACCCCCAAACTCCCAAAACCAAAATGAAAACCAAACCAAAATAAAAAATCAAAACCAGGGCCAAACCGAAATCCCCACATCTCTTTGTGACCTTTTCCGTGTCTTATGGCATTGCAATGGTTTAAAACTTGATAATTATGTTTTCCTTGACTGTTTGACCAATCAGTTGATGTATTATAGGTGAAGAGCACCTGTATAATAGCATGTAGCAAATGTGTAGAAAGCACTTGTTTCTGTAGAATGTTGAGGGTCACAGGTACACTACCTACTAGTCATTTGTTAACATGGTTTATTATTTGTTGAAAGTATTTCTTTTCCTCCCTCCTTCCCTTCCTCTCTCCCTCTCTCCCTTCCTTCCTTCTGACCTCCTCTTCTGTTATTTCTTCCTTTCCTTTGGAAACTGAAATCCTACTCATCCTGCTCATCCTGAAATATTTTTTCAGATTTTTCCCCTCCTCTCAAATTTGCTTATTGCTCAGAGTCATCTGACCCTCCTCTGAGTCCCCGTCCTGCCAAACACAAGGAAGATAACTCAGACCTTTCTTTAGGTCTCTGGGCCCCATGTGTATTGGAGCAGGTGTGGATTGTTTTATCCCTAAGATCTAAAATTTCTTCTAACTTTCTGTAGTTAATTCTAAGGCAGAGACAAAGGGAATGGGTGAGTCTCCCATAGGCCAATAGACATGGATTTGTCAATATCATGAAATGTTGCCTATAATGAATGAGAGAATGTAGGTTTTCTAGATTCTATAATATTAAAGATTTCATGCCCAATTTTTTACCTCAAGAAATAAAGAAGCCAAGATAGTCTGTCTGGTGTCTATTTCATGTTCTTTCTCTTTAATTGTCTAGCTGATGTGTCAACAACATGGGACTAGGAAATCAAACAAATGCTTTAGAATTTATACTGCTGGGATTTTTCCAAGACTCAGAGCATCAACTGATGTTATTTGGATTGTTCCTATCCATGTTTATAGTCACCTTCCTTGGGAACTTGTTCATCATCATAGCCATTGTCTCAGATTCCCATCTTCATACGCCCATGTACTTCTTTCTCTTCAATCTGTCTTTCGCTGACATTGGTTTCATCTCTACAACCGTCCCAAAGATGCTGGTGAACATTCAGACACAGAGCAGATCCATCACCTATGCAGGCTGCATCACCCAGATGTATTTTTTTATGGTTTTTGGAGGCATGGATACCTTCCTTCTCACTGTGATGGCTTATGACCGGTTTGTAGCCATCTGTCATCCCCTTCACTATCCAGTCATCATGAACTCCCATCTGTGTGGCCTCCTGGTTCTTACATCCTGGTTAATCAGCTTGTCATATTCTCTGATCCAGAGTCTGTTGATGCTGCGTCTATCCTTCTGTACCAATTGGGAAATTCGACACTTTTACTGTGAACTTGCTCAGGCCATCATGCTAGCTTGTTCAGACACACTGATCAATCACATAATACTCTACATGGTGACTGGCCTTCTTGGATTTGTTCCCTTTTCAGGGATCCTTTTCTCTTATACCCGGATTGTCTCTTCCATCCTGAGAATTCCATCAACATATGGAAAATATAAAGCTTTTTCTACCTGTGGGTCTCATCTATCTGTGGTTTCTTTATTCTATGTGACAGGTCTTGGTGTATACCTCAGTTCTGAAGCATCATCATCTTCCTGGAAAGGCATTATGGCCTCCATGATGTATACTGTGGTCACCCCCATGCTGAACCCCTTTATCTATAGCTTGAGGAACACAGACATTAAGAGGGCCCTGAAGAAACTACTTGGCAGAACATTTTATGTTCAGTGACAAGAATACTGTTCCTGGGCTCTTGAGCTGGCAAAAGTACCAACAAAAGAAATTCTGCGTCAAGAAATTCTGCCTCTAAATTATATAGGCTTTCACCCCTCACCCACTCTGTTTCTCTGTCTTTAATAAAAATATCCCTGTGAGTTCTTTGTCTGAAACTTTTATGGTGATCACTCTGTTACCCTCAGTTGTATTCCCCACCTCTCCTCCTTTTACATTTTACATCACTACATCTCAACTTGATGTTTGCATTCCCATAGGTCTATACAACCATTCAAGTATCAACTCAGAGACTCTTGGATAAAACATTAAATAGTTCATTTTTTTTAACAACAATCATTGTTAGTTTTTGTTAAATTCATTCATTTGGCAATATTTATTGGATATCTATAGTGTACCAGGTTGTTCTAGGTGCTAAGAATATAGCAGTGAAAAAAAATCCTTGCCCTCATAAAGCTAAAATCTATGTTCAGGCATATAATATCTGGGTAGACAAAAAGAGATTACTACTTTGGGCATGATAGTGCATATCTGTAATCCCAGCTACCCAGGAGGCTAAGGCAGGAGGGTTACAAGCTTGAGGTCTGCCTGGAAAACTTAGTGAGACCCTGTCTCAATAAAAAATGAAAAAGGGATGGGGATGTAGCTTAGTGGTATAACATGCCTAGGTTCAATACCCAGTACTGCAAAAGAAAAAAAAAAGTGTCATGTAAGAAATCGGGACACTGGTATGCACAAATCTGTATGAAAGTCCTGTGTGGAGCACAGACTAGAAATTAAATAAAAAACTTAGAGGAGAAATGATTGAGTAAAAGACTTAACATTATCAGTGAATCCACATTGATGGGATTAAATGAGTGGTAACTGGAGGGAGGTGGGGTGTGGCTGGAGGAAGTTGTGCACTAGGGATGTGGTTATGGAGTATATATTTTGCATCTGGAGAGTGAGGTCTTTCTCTCTCTGTTTTCTGATCACCATGTGAGCTACTTCCCTCTGCCACACTCTTCCTCTATGATGTCCTGCCTCACCTTGAGCCCTGAGAAATGGTGTCTACTGTCTATGAATTGAGGTCTCTGAAACTGTGGGCCATCAAATAAACTCTTCCTCCTTTACAATTGTTCTGGTCGGGTCTTTTAGTCACAGCAGTGAAACAGCTGACTAAAACAGAAATTTCACATAGAAGTGGGGTCTTTTCTGTGACTAATCTTACCGTGTGGTTGATAAGTTTTTGGAACATTTTGAATAGGTGGGAGGAATTTTGAAATGTTTATCAGTGTAAGCTGGAAATGCTTTAGGTTGTTGTAAGCAAAGCTTAATGGCTGATTCTGGTGGGAGCTCAGAAGACCAGAATGCCAATAGGACAGTGAAGACAGGACTCAAGAGGGCTTAGAGGAAAAGGAGGTTTCTATTGATAGTTAGACTAGATGTCATTCTTGTTATGTTCTTGCTAAGAAGTTATCTGCATTTTGTCTGTGTCCTGAGACTCTCTGTGATGCTGATTTTAAAAGTGATGGATTTATTAATCTGGCAGAAGAAATGTCTAGGCAACATAGCATACAGGAAGTGGCATGGGTATATACAGCAATAGCTGGTGGCTTTTAGCCAAGTTTATTGTGATATTCAGGAGCATAAAGCAGAACAGAAATATTTAAAAAACTTGGACTTGAAAGGAGGAGTAAAACTGGGGCTAAGGAAGTTGTAGTTGTTAAAGACATCACTGACACTAAAGAAATGCTAAAGATTTTGCCCAGAGACAATAAGAAAGATGGCTTGAGGGCATCTCAGGACCTGGCAAAACCACACCCATCTCAGGCTCAAGGGAGTAAAAGTGAAAATTCTCTTGAGAAGGGACCAGTGGGGAATCCTTGCATAAGAGGGCCTAGGAAATTTTTTCAATGTGTTCAGCCACCCAGACACTCATAGGCTGCTGGAATAATAATCCAGGTCCCTAGAGGCTTGGCTACTGCTCAAGATGGTGGCAGACCTTGGTGTCAACCCCATGATGCTAGTTCCTCAGGAATGCAGGATGCTAGATTTAGGGGGTCATGGAGGCTTCTGCCAAGATTTTAGAGGAAGGCCTTGGAAGCCAGACAAAGTGTAGCAGGGTCAGATTCCCTGAAGTTGCTCCCTGAGAAGGCAAGGTGTGGAGATTTGAGGAGGAAGCTGAAGCTGCAGTGGAGATCCCTGAGATTAAGAAATGCCAAAAATGTAGGAAAGCTGTAGGAATTGAGCAGAGGCAAGAAAACAGAAAGGCTACTTGTACTGCAGCCATCAAGGCCACAGAGGTGGAGCTATACAAGCCCTTTGGAGAGGATATCATGACATGTACTCCAGAGGATGAACACAGAACTACAGGATTTGTTTGTCCAGCTGGATTTTTGTCTTGCTTTGGTCCCTTCCTTCTTTCTATACCCCTATTTTTTATGTTTACTGTGTACCTTTATATATTGGATACTTGTAAATTGCTTTTTAATATTACAGGAGTTTACAATGCAAGATTGCCTTGAGCTTCAGAATACTTTGGACTTGAACTTTGAGCAATCTTGGAACAGTTGAGACTATGGGGACTCTTGTGTATTTACTAAATGTGTTTTGCATTGTCAGATGAGAGTGAGCTTTTGTGGACCAGGAAAAGAAAGTTATGATTTATATGTGGTGTACCCCAAAACTCATGTGTGGGACAATGGAAGAAGATTTGGAGGAGAAATGTTTAGGTCAAAGGTTTGACCTAATCAGTGAATTGATTCCTGATGGGTTAAAGTGAGTAGTAACTAGAGGCAGGTGGGGTGTGGCTGGAGGAAGTGGTTCACTGGGGGCATGGCTATGGCATATATAATTTGGATGTGAAGAGTGGACTGTCTCTCTTTCCTGATCACCATGTGAGCTTTTTCCCTCTGCCATAGTCTTCCTCCATGATGTCCTGACACACCTTGAGCCTTGTGAAAGTCAGCCTTCTGTTTATAAAGTGAGACCTCTAAAATTATGAGCCCTCAATAATTTCCTCTTTTACAATTGTTCTGATAGGGTCTTTTAGTCACAGTAGTGAAAAAGCTGACCAAAATGGGGCAACAGCAGTGTATATACGACCTGAAGGTAGACATATTTTTCTTGCACCTCTGAGATACAGAGTGCCCATATGAACATTCTGTGTGCTAAGAAGAGAGAAAGAGGCTGCATATGGTTAGGGGACAGAATACTTAGGACAACGACCCTGCACATGGCTGGTGGGTTGGATTTATGTCCAACTTAGAACATAAGTGATCCTGACAGGAATAGAAACTTAACTCTGGACTGGGCTTTGCTTACTAGATGGTAAAAGTGAATGCTCAGAGTACCATAAAAGAACTAGGACAGAAGACAAGGCACCAATTTGGACCCCTGTGTCTCATTCCTCATACCAAGAAACACACTTTCGTCCTCAGACTAACAGTTTTGTGTTAGTTTTCCATCACTATAACAAATGACAAGCTCCTTATAAAGAGGAAAAGTTGGTTTTGGCTCACAGTGTTGGAGGTTTCAGTCCATTATCAGTTGGTTCTGTTGCTTTTGGGACTGTAGGAAGTAGCATATTATGGCAGGGGTATGTGGTCAAGGAAAGCCATTCACCTCATGATTGGGAAACAGAAGAAGAAGGGTCTGGGGTCAAACTATCCCCTGTGAGCATTTGCCCCATGTTCTGAAGACCTCCCATTAGACCCTACTGCTTAAAGAATCCACCGCCTCCCAGTTGTGCTGCTCTGGGGACTAAGCCTTTATGGGCCTTTGGGGGACACTTACCTAAACTACAGTAGGTCTAATACAAAAGTAGGATGGGCAATTGAAATAACTTGTGTTGTCTAAATTAGGCAGAGATAAAGGCATGAAGGGCCTTTGCGAGTGTGAGCTCACATTCAACACTGAGGTTTGTTCCCAACTAGATAGATTCACCTGCTGTTCTTGTGGATCTGGAGAAGAGGAGAAGGGAAGGAGAGAATGCTGGCACAAATCTATAATTCTTCTCCATATTATTTCAACTTTCTTTTTCTTACTCAATGCAGTAGCCCAGGCAGGACCAGAGTTGAAACCTTGGGCACCAGAAGAAGGGGTGATTCCAAGGCAAAAACTTTTAGGCATAGCTTTAGGCCTCTGTGTCAGAATTCCTAGGGCTTGAGTTGGTGAACCCTGTGTTCACCCATCTGACAAAGTTAGGTTTCATGGTGACTGTCCCTTATTGTCTAGTTGTCATGATAGCTCTCAAATTTTGTACCTGTGTAACTTTCCCCCATATAAATGGAAGTGGACTTAAGGGTAGGAACTTGCTAGACTAGTATTATTGCTGGCAATCTGGACCAGAATATTGACGAAAACTAATGTCGCTTCCAAAGGTGAAAAAGTATGAACAAAAATAAAAGTGGGCCAGGGCAGGGAGTGAGGGGAGGGGGAAAGACAGAAAGAACGAGATGAGGGTATAGGAATGAACAAATGGATTATTTAATGAAGGAAATCTATTACTACCTCAGTCACAGGATTTAGAATGCTTAGAAATGAATTTAGTTAACTTTCAGCTAAGTTAGTTTTGCACAAGTTTATTACAGGTACATATAGCATTAAATTAAGGGGGAGGGGTAAGTACATTAACACAAATAAATGAAAATGTATATAAAGTATTTACTAGACAGATTGGTTTTTTTTTTTTTTGTTACTAGGGCTTGAACTCAGGGTACTTTACCATTAAGCTACATCACTAGACCTTTTTAATTTTATTTTGAGTCAGGGTCTCATTAAATTGCTGAGGGCCCTCACAAAATTGCAATGTTTGCTTTAGCCTCCTGAGTTACTGGGGTTATAGGTGTATGCCACCACACCCAGCGCAGATTAGTTATTTTTTTAAAATAATCTATCTCAACCCAATACTGGCTTCTCCAAATGATAGGAACACTCAGACTGATAGGGTTTATTTGTTACATAAAAGGTATGCAGAAGGTAGATGTTCCAACAACTATGCTCATTTTGCTCCAAGA